GCACGCAGCGCGGGCGCCCGCGCGGCGGGCGCGCCGAGCAGGACGGCGGGCGCGAGACGGAGCTCAACTTTGAGAGCGTGCTCGACGCCAAGCAGACGCTGGAGCGGCAGCTGGATCCCGTGCTGCACGCGGTGGACCTGCTGGGCGCCGAGGCGCGCAGGCTGGAGGAGGAGCTGGAGCAGGACTATGAGAAGCTGAGGCTGCTCGAGGCGGAGGCGAGGACGCGCGCGCGGGAGAATAAAAATTTGCTGAAAAAGGCGCACGTGCTGGCGCCGCAAGGTGATGGAGGAGGAGGAGGAGGAGGTGGTGGTGGTAGTGGTGGTGGTGAGAATGGGGAGGAGGAAGGGAGCAAAACGTTTGCGAACACAGAGGGCGCGGGTGTGAATCCATTCCAGGTACGTTTTTACACGGGATGATGGGTTTCATCGTGGGGATTTTTTCGTGTGTTGCTAACATCTACAGAACATGGACGACAACGACGACGAGGAGATGCGGGACATGGTGGCCGCGCTCGGGGACCACGTCGATAGGATCCAGGCCAACGCCGCGCAGACGGCAGGCGTCGGCGACCAGATCCAGCGGACGAGGGCGGCGCTGCAGGCGGTGCTGGCCCGGAAGCTGGGCGCGCAGACGTACGAGCATGTTGTGCTCGGGCGATGAGCAAAACCAACAAAACTTGCGCGTTCTCTTTCCTTCTTTCCCCATTGCCTCTTTCAAGCGAAAGAGAGAGAGAGAGAGAGAGAGAGAGAAGGAGGGCGGTCACGACTTTTTTTTTTTCATCTTCTTTGTTTTCGTGGTGGGCATTGATGCAGCGTTTTTGAATCATGCCGGCTGATTTCGTTTACAATCTTTCTTCTTGTTACGGTTTTGCTAAGAAACTGCATCGTAAAGGCGTTTTTGTCATGCCATGCTCTCCGTTTAGGGAAGAATGGGCGAGGGAAATGGTATAAGTGGGCGGCGGATTTGAGATGGACAGGTGCATATTGGTCGACAAGCAATGGCAGAAAAATTTGATACCCTACCAAAAATTAATGATCTACATGCTTTTCGTTGAATCAAAACCAAGAGTCACGAGTGCATGTTGCCATTCGGAGAATACTGATGTGACATTGTATCGCTTGGCAATCCTGGGACGGCAACGCCATCCGAGTCTACCCAGCATCCAGAAAAGTGAACATATTTAATGCGTTCAAAATTGTACACAGACTAGTCACGCTGTAACAGGGCTCACATGAACGTAGCGAGAGCTTAATAATGAACAAATTCAACAGTATACTCCGCTATATAACAATGGCATGGGTAGCCCCTCGCTAGACGGCCTTTTCAAGACTTCCGCATATCCAAAATTCAAAATCTAAATATATCGTGCCGGAGCCTCCATAATCGAGACAAATACGTAAGCCGGTAGATTATAAGATGCTATCGACACATGAATAGAAAGAAGGGAAAGATGCACGAGTAATCAGGATGCCTGATACTCGCTGCAATTGCTAGACATGAGCTTAGCGGCGGAGGCGGGCAAAGCCAGAAGGACCTGGGGCACCAGTGGCAGTGACAATGGTGCTGTTGTTGGCGGGATAGGGGACAACGGTGACAGTGGCCTCGATGGTGGTGGTACCATCAGTCTCGCAGGGGGTGGCCTCGGCGTCGGCGGGCTTGCTGGGCTTGCTGCCGTTGTCAACGGGCTTGATGCCGTTGTTAACGGGCTTGTTGTCACCGGGCTTGTTGTCGACCTTCTTCTTGCTGTCGCCAGGGGCAGCGGAAGCCTCGCAAGAAGCAGTCACGGTGACGGTGGAAGCAGAGGCAGTAACAGTGGTCTGGGCAACAGTGACGGTCACGGTGGCGGGAGCAGCTCCCGAGACGCACTTCTCGTTGCCATTATCACCGCCGTTGCCGTTGGCAGGGCTGGTGCCGGTGGGGGTGGCCTTGGCGCGAGTGATGGTAACGGTCTTAGTCGAGGTCGAAGTGGCAGTGGTGGTGACAGTCGCATCGCTGGGCTTGGAACCGGCAGCAGGAGGGCTGATGGTAGACTTAATGGTTGAAGTGATGACAGAAGGGACAAGAGTCTTGTTGTCGCCGGTGCCCTTGGTCAGGGTAATGGTCTTGGTGATAACGATGTCGGTGGTCTGGACAGGAACCTTCGTCTTGCCGGGGAGAAGGGAGGAATCGGACTTGTGCTGCGAGATGATCTTGTCTGAGATGGTACTGGCCTCGGAGACGGGGCAGACAATAGTC